CGCGCGCGCGATCCCCTCCGCACCCAGGCCGCCGAGCGGGTCGGGCCACGGAGCCCCCTCCCCTGGGGGGCGGAGCGGTCGGCCAAGCCACCGGTAGGCGCAGAGCGGGGAGCAGGTTCTGCCGTGTCAGGACCCCGTCCCCTGGGGACCCTCGGGAAGCCAGAATCACCGAAACCGCATCCGACAAGCCCGGGCCGCAGCGAGGACTTTTCTGGAAGCGCTGCGCAGCCATCTCGAGTCGCCCTCCCAGCCCAAGCGCTGACCCCACCGCCAGCCTGCACCCCGGGCGAAGGGTGCTGCAGGCACCAACCCGGGACGCGCCACAACCACCCCGATCACCACTTGGGTGATCCTCCCGGTGGCGCAGGTGAGGGCTCTGGCGCCACCTGCAACCTCAGGCCTGGGCGGGATGCCCCGCGCGCACCCTTCCTGGCCCACCCTCCACCCCCTCTGAAATGTGAGCCAGCACCGCACTGTGTTGGCCTGCAGAGCTTGTTAAAACAGATTGTTGCACCAGCCCCAGACCTGCTGATGCCAAAAGTCTGGGCTAGGTAGGGGTGACCCGTCTGCATTTCTTTTTAAGTTTATTTGGGGGGAGGGTGGTGTAGAGCGAGAGGGAAACCGAGAATCCCAAGCAGGATCCACCCTGTCAGTGCAGAGCCCAACGCCAGCCTCCAACTCACCCAACCGCGAGATCGTGACCTGAGCTGAAAACTGACTGAAAACTGAGCCACACGGGTGCCCCCATCTGCGTTTCTAACAAGTTCCCGCTGGTGCTAGAGGTCCTGGAAGGAACGTGGAGGTTCTGGAGCTGTCTGAGGGGCGCCGGGTCCCCGGATCCCCGCCTTGCCTTTGGCTGATCTTGTTGGATCATCAGGGTACCTTGTATTTAGAGGATCGACAGATTTGGAGATGTTTTTAACTCAGAGGACCTCATCGCTAACATGGGACCCCGGGCAGTGTGGGACACAGAAAGGCCCAGAGGCGAGGACAGTTTGCTCGGGGGAGGCCGGGGGTCAGCCGAGCTGAAGGAAGGGCCAGAGGCTGGAGGTACAGGTTTCCAACAGCTGCACACAGGGAGGCAGCCCGTCCGCCTGTGAACACCTGTGCCTTTTATTTCGTGGTGCGGGTGGGTGGGTGCGGGAGTGTGGGGAGCCCGGGGTGGGGGAACCAGGTGCTTCCTCTATCACCCCAAGCCGGAGTGGACACTGCTGTGATGGGCCACCTCCTGTCTCAGCTCCTGGGTCCAGACCCACACACATGCAAGCTGCCCTCCGCACATCTGTACTGGAGGAGACACAGAACTACGGCTGGGGGGGGGGGGGGGGGGGGGGGGGGCAGCACCACAGCGTGGATTCTCCTTCTGGAAGCTCTGTCTCCAGGCCCTGCCTCCATCCTGACCCAGCACAGCCAGGCAAATGGGGGCAGAAGGGCGCAGGGGAGCGAGAGACCAGCCACCCCTCGGCTTCCTTCTGCACGAGACGAGGAGGCAGGAATCCGGGAGGGGACAGTTACCATTCGTCCCCGGGGACTGGCGGGTCCTGAGCCAGGATCTCGGTGCTGATGCCCTCCCCTCCTGCAGTCTTTCGTCAGATTCTGCCAACCTGTTGGAACAAACACAGGCCTGGTTGCCATGGTGATCATCGTGGCTTTGGGGTGAAGAGATTCTGCGGCTGCTGTAAACAGGAAGTTAGGAAGGGCAGCTGCCAGGGGAGGGGCCCCTGCCCGCACCCCCATCCAATGCCCTTTGGGGAGCAAGGGACTGGAGGCCAGCGCCGCCGAGGCTTCAGGCCTAACACTGCGGCCTGCTGGGGCGGAGGAGACCTTACGACTGCCCTGTACAGATAAGGAAACCGAAGCCCAGAGAGGGAAAGAGCTTTTTCAGGGCCACACAGCAACCGGCTGGGTTCATAGCCCAGCTCTGGGCCTCAGTTTCCCTTTTTTGTAAAATGGACATAGTATGCACCTGTCAGTGAGGGGGGGTTCTCAGTGAGAAGCTAGTACTTGACCATGGTCACAGCAGGCTGGCCCTCCAGGGACTCAGTTCCTGCCTCCATAGGTTGGGGGTGACTCCACAGTGGGGAGAGAGGCCGGGAGCAGGCAATGTGGGACATGCACTTGTCACAGCAGGAGTTGGGCACAAAACACTTCACCTAGAGGGTCAGGCGGCTGGGACTGACCCAGGGGCTCACACCTTCTGGGCTTTGGGCGGGCAGGAGAGTGGTTTCCTCCTTGGGGCCAGGGGAAAACCCCCAGGCTCCAGATGGATGGCCGCTGGAGAGCAGGGAGAAAGGCAGCACAGGAGGTGAGGGGGCGTCTCTGTAAGGCCACCTCACCCTTGCGGCGCCTGGCTGGCTCGGTCAGTGGAGCGTGCGACTAGTGATCTCAGGTTGTAGGTTGGAGCCTCACGTCGCATGTAGATATTAGTTAAAAAATAAAATCTTGGGGCGCCTGGGGGGGGCCTCGGCTGGTTAAGCATCCAACTTCGGCTCAGGTCATGATCTCACGGTTTGTGAGTTCGAGCCCCACGTTGGGCTCTGTGCTGACAGCTCGGAGCCTGGAGCCTGCTTCGGATTCTGTGTCTCCCTCTCTCTCTGCCTCTCTCCTGCTCGTGTTCTCTCTCTCTCAATCAAAAATATACAAACATTAAAAATGTAAAAATAAGATCAAGTAAACTAAAATCTTAAAAAAAGACATGCTTGGCCTGATGCCCTCTGGCGGCAGACCTTGGAATTGCAGGCATAGCCTTCTGGCAGTAAGGCTCCTCCCACCGCTCCCACTGGCACTGCGGCACCTGTCAGAGGTGAAGGAGAGCCTAGAAGAATCGTGGGGGCTCACCCAGGAACCTGTCCCATCACCTGTGCCATCCTGGGTGCTTCTGCCAGCAGAAGAGGTGGCTGGCTCCAGGTGGGAGGGGGTCTGGCCCCTCACCTGAAATGCTGGCTCCTGGGGCCCAGTTGCCAGCACCCGCACAGGTGACGCCTGTGCAGGACCAGGGTGGTCCCGGGCGCCAGGCCTGGCGGTGGAAGGGGAGCAGGCCCACACAGGGCTTTGCAGGTCTCTGTGAGGGTGGGCGGCCTGGCTGCAGCCCACTGTCCAGTGTCTGTCCACTGAGCCCGAGCGTCAGCTTCTGGCCCAGGGGCAGGTGTGCCGGCCCACACCAGAGGGGGTGAAGGTCGTGTGTGACATTGGAAGGCAAAGCTGGGGGAGTCGAATACCCAGCATCACTCTGCACGATGGGGGCCCAGGTTCTGGGACAACAGGAGTGGGAGGGGCAGCATTCAGGAACGTGGTGGCAGGTCACCTGGGAAGGCAGAGACCAGGAAGGGAGGACCTAGGCCCCGGCCCTGCCAACTTCCTGGGGTCCGGACAGCAGATGGGGCCAGGTGCTCCAGCCCCTGTCCACCCCATGGTCCTAAGCCAGCCTCTTTGGTCAGGGTCAGGGCCTCTGCAGGCAGGGTCACAGGGTCCGGAGGTCTCTGGACGAGCCTCACAGGCCACCTTGCAGAACCCCCCCCCCCCCTTCTGTCTCAGCACCAGGGCCAGCCCCTCCCTGCTGGAGCAGGCTCAGACTGGTTCGAGCCAGCCCAAGTCAGCGCTCAGCCTGGCCCTCCAACCTGGCAACTCGTCGTCATGGCAACCTCAAAATGGAGGCCGCCCGTCCACAGAGCCCAAAGCGAGCTGATGCGAACCAGGAGGGTTTGGGGCGGCCCAGTTAGGGAATGAGGTGGCGCTGCTCGGTAGACAGGTGTGAGCGCGCGGCACTGGCCTGGGCGGGACAGTCCAGGGAGGCCAGGGGGACTCTCGGGGACCCACAGCCCGTCTTCTGGTGGCCGGCTTGTCCCGGGAGCCCCAAGGTGGGGCTGACACGTGGTCAGGGTCTGGGCACCTGAGGACTTCGACGCCCTTTCCTCTGGAGGCCCAGCCCGGGGTCCCCAGGAGGGACACCCTCCTCCGGCGCCAAGGGTCAGCATGGGATGTGTTCCCTGCCTTCGCTGCCCTCGCCTGTCCCAGCGGGGACGAAAGAGGGGACCAGCACCCCCCCCCCCCACGCGAACCACCGAGGGTCTGACTCGAGGCCAGCGGTGGGGCGGCCTGCGTGGCACAGGGCAGGAAAGGACACAGCCTGCAGGCAGCACTTGTGGAAATGTTTTAATTAGAGGATTCTCAGATACAGTGGTTAATGTATTGCCCACAATTCCTTACTAAGTATCAGGCGCCTCATGCCGGGAACAAGGCTCTTCCCTCACAGTAGAAACAGGACGGGCACAGTCCCTCCTTCCCCCGTTACAAGAGTTACATCTTCGTTAAGCCAAGGACTGTGGCACAAGAGGACATTTCATTAGTCAAAGTCATGACAATTTTCTAGAAACATCGATTACTTCAGAATGCTTTAACTAGAAAATATATTGAATTTCCATATATATTAACCATATACACGTGTGGCTATTACTAAGCGTAGTTGAGTCATTACAAAATAAGACATTCTGGGAGAGGCTTCGCACACACACGACCCGGCTGGGTCCCCCGGGGGGGCCTCCGCATTAGAAAATACAT